ACTCGCCAGCAGAAAATGGTGTGGCTGAACGGAGGAATGGCGTATTGCAAAATATGAAAGACTCACTGCTGGCAGATGCAGGAATGAGTAAAACATATTGGGGGAAGTCATGAAAACAGCCAACTATCTAATAAATAGGGTATGGAGTGTTGCTATAAATGAAACTCCATATTTCCTGTTAATGGAAGGAAACCTTCATTGGCTCACTTAAGGACTTTTGGCAGTTATGCCTGGGTGCATATTCCCAAAAGCACCAGAAGAAAAGGACAGAAAAAGGCCAGGAAACTTAGGTTTGTTGAATATGAGCCAGGTTCCAAAGGATATATATTCACAGATAGAACAAAGAAGGTTGTGATTTCAAGGTCTGCTAGTTTTGCAGAACAAAACAATTGGGACAGAGTGCATGCTAACAACGAGGTGTTCATGCCAACATGTAGTGCTAGTTCTCAGGAAAGAGAGACTACACAAAGCCCAATGAAGGAAGAACAGAATAGCAAGTCAGAAATAGAACTGTGGAAGAGGATAGACCTGAGATAAAGAGAGAAGTAACAGAAACACAGCAACAGATGATACCGAGGAGGTCTGAATGTAGCAAGGCATACCTCCTGATCGATTCTCAGCAAGTGGGATTACAGTGTATAGTGTAAGGTATGAACCCTGTAATTACCAAGAGATGTTATCATTACCTAAAATGGAACTGGATACATGACAGAAGGCAAGGAAAGGAGTACCTTGGAATACAAACAATTATTGGAAGAACATGGATTCAGTAATGTGCAGATTAAAATAACAGGAAATCTTCTAGATGTAATTTTGTGCTCTAAGAAACTATCTTCCCAGTACACTAAATAGTACGGAATTTATTATTTCAGTTTTCCAGAATACTGCGTTTCTATTTCTGATTTTGGTGTCTGAATTGTTACAGTAGTGAAGACTATGTAAAAGCCTTTTGGATTAACAGCTGTTTAGCTTTAAATGGGAGGAATGTCAAGGTAATGATTTAGAAGCTATCCAGCTGATGTAAGATGTATGATGTAATGTTGGGAATGACTCAGCAAGGTCTATGTTCCTTTAAGAGCAAGTAAGGTCTGTATCTCTTTAAGAGCTTTCTATAAAAGGGAAGGCTTTGCAGATGTGTGCTCTCTTTTGTTTTCCTGCTGTAACTGCTGTATATTGAAGATTGCTGTATTAACATGTGTATGTATATTGTTCCTGGTGTATGATATTGTAGATAGTGTAAGATAAACCACCATTTAATATAGACCACTGTTTACTGTGTTTCCTCTTGGGTTATTTCAGCGCAATAAGACTGTGCATGTTCTGACAAGGTTGGTCATCCACTTGGCCATTTCCCCCTCCAAATTGGCCACCACAGTATTCACCATCATGGCATCATCCAGGTAGGCATAAGCGTAGCGATCAAGATGAGCACACAACTGATTTAGGAAGATGAGCTTCTCAAGGTCTCCATCAAAGGTGGGCTTGATGGGAAGTGGCTCAAACCTTGGTGGGGCCGTCTGCACCTGCTGCTGTGCTGTTTGTTGGTCCTGGGGATGTGGCCGAATCACTCTCCAGATTTCCCTTGGCCAGGCTGCCTGACTGGCAGCCTGAGACTGCAGCAACGGCTTGGCTGGGATACAGGACTTGACATCACAGCTGGCTGGAGAATAGGTGAGGTGGCACGGGCTCCTGCAGTCAGGCTGCGACTCCGGCAAGGGGGGGAAGAGATGGGTAGCCCTTGGCATTCCCTCCACATAGCGCAGCCATCCTGGGTAATGGGAACTGTCTCTTTTACCTCCAATCTGCCAAACTTCTCCTTTAGTTGCTTGAGCGAGGGGTTGTGTACTGTGGACTGGAATTTCCAATTGATCCCTTTCCCTGCAGGTATGCCGCAGACAAAAATCCCCGGGACGGCAACAACAGGAGTTCTTCAGCAGTTGCAGGAGTGTTCCTGTGCTGAGGGGCAGCCTCAGCCTGATAGAGGTCTGCCAGGATTGTAGTTCCCTCCTGCAGTACCAGTTTCCCAAGTTGGATCAACCTGAACTTTGGCCGAGCCCCTGCCAGTGACGCCTCCTCAGTGGCTGGAGCAGCTGCTTGCACTCCAACAGCCAGAGTTCCGCTGTGGCCAGAAATGGCTACATTCTTTTCCTCTATATTCAAATCTTCGCTGAGTCTTCACCACTCTCCCAAAAGATGGGTAGGTGGTCGGGGCCCAGCACCCCCCAAAAATGAAAGTTTTAGGAGACTTGGCTCTGACAAATAAAACAGAATTTCTCAAAGAACATGCTCATTGGTTACAATGTATTGGCATGGTCAAAAGTGAAACCAAGTCTGAATATCCCAATTTACAAAGCATAAAGTTCCCACCCCAAAACTATATAAGTGATTATGTTCCCCAATAAATGCAATTGGTGGGCTTTCTTATACAACACCCAGATCCTGGTCACAGGAGCAACAGATGACTTTGTTTCCCATGGGACAGCTGATTGTTTTGACTAGCAAAGCACCTGGGCAAGCCCCCTCCCTCTGTGCCATTTGGCAACCTCAAATGAGGGGAATAAATGACTGCAGCCAGACTCATTTGCACAGTTGACATTCATCTGGTAGTGGTTCTATCTATCCCACATTGTTCTATCTTAACAAGAGATAAGGGGTGATCTACTTTATCAAATGCCTTAATGAAATCTAATACTATATCCATAACATTTCTTTGGTTTACTAATTTGACAAAGAAGAAAATAAAATTTGCTTGGCATGACTTGTTCTTAACAAATCCATGCTCATCCTTAATATTATATTAATAGGAGCTTATCTCCTAACATATATTGGTTGCGTTTATGCATCTTTATATGCCATAGGGCGACCATTTGGCTCATGAACTCATCCTGTCTTTTATTTTTTCACCATGGGCACAAGAGACTTTTAAGCAGTTTTATGTTTTAACTAATTGTGGTTAGCTATAATACCCCAAACCAGAGGTTAATTTCAAACATAGGTTTAGGGCAAATTGTTTATACATAAGTGACAAATGGAGATAAATTCAAACCAGCAAAACTTTACAAATTATTTCCATCTATCAGTTAAGGAAATGTGTTTATTTGAATAAACCATAGTTTATAACTAAATCTAACCATTGGCTGAGAATAATAAGACTTTGGGAGCTTCTTTCCTTGAGAATTGGTATTCAAAGTCATATAACAGTAACCACACAAGCAACTGCATTTTGTGAGTAGGATAGAACCCTCTTTTTCAACCTTTTAAAACTTATAAAATACTACTTAATATTTTCTAAACAGATCTATGGATATATATACTCAGAATATTTGAATTTCAAAATACTTTTTTCCCCACTGTCAAACTCTGATTAAAATTAAGTGAGTAATTTTTACTGAGCAAAAAAAAAATCTTATTAAAATTTTGTCTTGGCCTTTGATTTACTGGGATTATTTTAAGTTATATTAATGCTGAATCACAAGAGCCCATCTTAATTTTTTGCTTTTTTTTAGATAGCAATCTACATTGACATTCTCATGAACAGTTGCTGTTTGCTAATATTTACCAAGGCACAAACAGACTTATCAACATTATAATATACAATTTGTTATAGATGTTTTATGCTTTAATTCAGAAGATTCTTAAAAAGAACATAAAGCTGAAACCAGAAGCTTTTATTTTAGAACTACTGGAGAAGGAATTTCAAATAATTTTGGAACTTCATTATATGTATGTTGAAAGCAGGAAAAATTTTATTAATACAAAAATGGAAAAATACGTCAACTCCCACAGTGGCAGAATACCGTATATTCCGGCGTATAAGGCGACTGGGCGTATAAGACGACCCCCAACTTTTGAGAAGATTTTCAGGCTTTAGAAAGTCATCTTATATGCCAGAAAATACAGTACAATATTGAATTTCTGTTTATAGATGAGCACAATAGGAGCTCCTTTGCTGCTAGAAAGCTTTGTCCTGTCAGTGCTTATTTCTGTAAAAAAAATAGGGCTGGCCACTAGGGGGCAGATTGGTTTTAAATTCAGAGAACAGCTACCCATATATTCCTGTGTATAAGACGACCCCTGACTTTTGAGAAGATTTTCAGGCTCTAGAAAGTCGTCTTATACACTGGAAAATACGGTAAGTGGAAAAAGTGACAGAGCTAGCAGAGTTGACAAAATTAACTGTTTTAATCAAAGAAATGAATATATCTAGTTTTGTTTCTACTTGGAAACTGCTTCTAGACTTTGTGCTTGAAATAGGAAAAAAAGAAATTCTGACTGGGTTTAGCTGATTAGATTAGTTTAGAAATTAGTTTACTAAGTATGTAAAAATAACAAATTGAGGTTGCAATGTTATTTTGTATTTTATTGTACTGAAAAAAGTTGGAAATCAATGCTTTCTTTCCACCTTTATTCCACATCCCTCTTCTTTTCTTCCCTTATTTCCCTATTTTTATTTTCTTTTGTATTTTATATTACAACAATCTTCAATAAAAAATATTACCAAAAAATCTAATAAAAGTCAAGCAAAACACTCTAAAATGTATCATTTTTCCAAACTATGACATGGGAAAAAGACTGTGAGAGAGTTTTAGAAAATGTCTAAAGAAAACCAAATGTTTTAAAAAGAACAAAGTTATAAATTTCTCATGTTTTTAAATCAGGATCAAAGATTCCCTACCCCAGTGGTTCTCAACCTTTCTAATGCCGCGACCCCATAATACAGTTCCCCATGTTGTGGTGACCCCCAACCACTTATACATCACCGGGTGCCAGGGGCGTGGCCAAAGAAAAGGGGGAAAAAATGGCTGACAGCCTTGTTTGGCGACCCCCGTGAAATAGTCGTTCGACCCCAAATGGGGTCCCGACCCAAAGGTTGAGAACCACTGCCCTACCCTATCATAAATGTTCCCTAAACAGCTTCCAAGCTGAACAGGAACCATATGTTTTGTAACACATGCAAAGCAAAGTGCTGTCTGCCAAACAAAACCAGAAAATATATTTACCAGCATTGGATCCTGTGAGGTTATAGCGTGCATTTAGTTTTTTTATGATGCTTTCATGAATCTGAAACCAGTCACTCTCTGTGTTACACCTGTAAAAGAAGTAACATTGTAAAAGCTACAGAGAACAAACTTTTCCCATTGCCAGTTCAGAGGATTTCTCACCAAATAAGAAATACATGCAAGCATTGTTTCTACCTGTAATATGTGAATATACACTGGCACCTGAAGTTTCATGAGAATGAATTTAAGACATGCTGCTCAGAGGTTAATGCTGTATCAACTGGAAAAGTAAAAATGTGAATGATCCAGTCAGCTCCAGATTTAAGGATACCCTGAGCAAACCTGCCCTCTGCAGTAGTTATTTAAATAGTTACTTTCAGCAATAACTTTAATTCATTCATCTATCATCATTTTACTGGATTTATCAGCTGAGACAGCAGCACAAGTTCTATCGTCTGTTTATATAATAATATAAATATGTATCATGCATGCAATGTTAAACCTTGAGACAGTATTGTTTCATAACATTGTGTGCAATTCTAATTGGTAAATGAGTTACTGCTGCTATTAGGCAAGTTTGCACATGAGAGCTCAGTCCTATATCAACTGTTACTGCCAGTGGGATATGAACTTAGATTAAGTGAATCTATCAGTAAGTCTGAGATGTTTTAATTTGGATTTTTGCAATGATCAGAAGGTCGGACTATGCCGCTTGACATGGTCCCTTCCAACTTCATGATTCTAGATCCTATTCTCTGCTTTAAAGAAAAGCTTAAAATATATTCTCAATAGAAAACACAGTTGGCAAATAAAACTTGTCCACTGGTGATACATTTAGCAGGGAACACTTCCAATTGAATTTTAACAAAAGTAAAAAGAATCCATTACACTACTAGCCCATTACATTGTTGTAAAGTCTTCTCAAATCCATTGCTTCCTACAGCTTTAAGTCAGGATCCTGAGGACCACAGCTGGAGAAAAGTTGCCCTTGAGACACATAATGATTTATAATCCAAATACTAACTTTAAAAATAACAAACATTTCCAGAACTTGGCTAACAAATAAAAGTCACAGAATAAGATCTCAATTTTTCCCTCATTTAGGCTATCCCAAAACACAAACCTTCATATTACTACAATTTTTACCTCAAAAACCATTTTGAAAAAGATAAACTACCTGGAAGAGATTCATGTTGAATGCAAGGATGAAGATGTCTATTGTGTTTTATGTACTTTTTAAATAAATTTTAATATAGTCATATGATTAATTAATACAGTTTATTGTATTGTAGCAAATTTGCAAAGAATGGCCTAGAACAGGGGTGTCAAAATCAATTTCATTGAGGGCCGCATCAGCATTGTGGTTGCCCTTGGGGGTGTGTGGTCAGGATGGGTGTGGCCTACTGGGTGGGTGCAGCTGGGCTGGGAGTGGTCTACCAGGTAGGCGTGGCCAGCTCGACATCACTCACTTCAGGGGGCGGTCCCGTTGAAAGGGATGCCTCATGGCTGTGAGGCTGGAAGTGCTGGTGGGGTGGTGGTGCTGATCTACAACCTGGTTGCATCCATCAAAGCCAGAATGCACTCAGCCTAAGATCCACTGGAACCAGCAAGGAGCTACTGCCTCTGTTCTGCCCCCCGGGTGTGTGTACAGGAGACAGCGTTCTGGATGAAGTCAGCCTGCAGGACAAGACAGCCAGCAGGGATGGTGGACTCCACTTGCACGCACAACAGGGGGCAGGGCCCCAGCCGATGGCTGATCAGAAGGGCAGATGGGTTCCTAGGATTCTGATGTGCTGCAGCAAGAATCTTACAAGACTGCATATGCTAGATGAGTTGCTCATATGCAAAAAAAATAGGCCACAATTTTTTAATTTATTATACAATGGAGTATGAATTTATATATATATATAGTTTAAGATAAAAATCTACTCATTCATTTCATTTATCTACAGAACTTGAAAAGAAAAATAATCTACAGATTATATTTCACTGATAAAATGTGATCCAAATTTTGTTGTAATATATTACAAATATATGTATTCTTACATATATACTTTTAAAATAAGGTCATCTTTTGTATCATCAGCCATTAGATCTGCCATACTGAGAACCGCACAACCAAAAGGTCGCCGATACTGTATATTGCAAGTATTTTTCTTTTCACCTGCTCCCATTCGGCCTGTCAAAAAAAATATATTGTGAAAGAAAAAAACCAAGGGACATTAAAGAAATACATATCTTCTACCATCCACAGTTAATTTAATAATTTTATTGGATGCTAACTGTGCCAATGTTGAAGAACATCTTCAATCTGTCTCCTTCTGAATTGACCTAATAGTATGAAAAATAGAGAAAATGCCTACATTAAACTATGTGAGCCAGCATTCTAAATTTGACTTTTCTTAGAAGCATCCACAGTTCCCTATAAGCCTTCTATTGACATCAAAGAGGAACCAACATTAAATTTCTTAAGCTCCAGCTGTATACATTCACTAAATCTTTTCTCAGGAAAAGAGGTTGACAATTTTCATATAGGAATCCAATAATTCAGGTTTCTCATATTTCTCTCAGCAAAATCTAGAAAGATAAAAATCATGATACCAAAATCATTACCTTATATATTCCTTCCAATGTTAGGTTAGGTATGTGGCCCTAATAGGTGTTTGTCTGATTAAGCAAGTCTGAGATTTTGTAATTATTAAAGTGAACTGTTTGAAATTCGTGGAGTTATCCATGGTGTGTATTCATTTCTTACTATGTTACAGATCTTATAGTTTTAATTTAGCTATCTAGTACTGTATCTTCACTTACAATAATTTATTTCTCTGGTGGGGCATCTAAAGTCCAATCTAAATTAGTACCTGTTCCTAATACAGGTAGTCCTTGACTTACAACAGTTCATTTAGTGACCATTCAAAGTTACCTCACTGAAAAAAGGGACTTATGACCATTTTTCACACTTATGACCGTTGTAGCATCCCCATGGTCACATAATCAAAATTTGGATGCTTAGAAACAAGCATGTATTTGTGATGGTTGCAGTGTCCCAGGATCATGTAATCATCTTAACTGTAAGTTGAGGACTACCTGTACTTGCCAAAAATATAAGATATGCAAGATAATAAAAATAAGAGGTAAAGAACAAAGAAGGGAAAATCATGCCAACAAAAGATACTAAGGATAATCAACAAGAATTTAAGTAAAATGAAAGGATTTTATTAGTTATCTCTTGTTGAAGACTATACGGAGAGATGATTATTTTCACTTATATGTTGTTAAAAACCACAATTCAATTTCATCTCTACTATTTTGACAAATTGTCAGTGCCTTGTGTGCTTATCCTCTCAATCTCTGTCTTAAATCCACATGAGCTATATATTTAAATTATGGAGCAACAAAAGGCACATTCTTATTAATAAATCACATGCTTAAATCACTGTTGTCACATTTTCTTTGTTTTAAAATAACTTGCACAAACCTGAATGTTTGCAGTAAAATGTAAAAAAGAACAACATCCCTAGGATCTAGTCTTGGCCTTGCAAGGCAGAAATCATAGGCAACTGAACAGATGCAGCTCAAATAGGAATTGAACTCAACAGAATACTAACTATTCCATTTACAGTTGATATTCCACATATACACATAGACAAACACACATAAAATTAGACACACAGATACACACAAACACACACACACACACACACACACACATATACATATACTTCCAGATAAATCTTCCAGAGTAGCTAGCTTAGCTGAGAATTTAATCTGCCTGTATGAACATTTCAAAGTTTTAAAAATAGTAATAATATGACAACAGTAATAATAACATGTCAATTCATGTGACTCTGCCCTACAGTTTGATAAAATAGAAAACTGTTTATATCTGCCTTAAAAAGGATATGAGACTGACAAGTAATACATTAATATAATATATGTAAATCCTTAACAATTGCTGTACGATTAGAAGTTTTCCTTCTTTGTCAGGAAAAAATAGTATATGCATACCAATGCGTATAATGTGCACAATAATGTAGATGTCTTTTCTAAGCTCACTGCTTCCCAAATTCTGTGAAGAATGAGAATAATCCAAAATTATCATATGATTTTTTTTACAGTTTATTGATATAAACAATTTTTAAAAATTAAGTGTTCTTCTGCCTAGCGTACTGAATAGCAGTCAAGAAAAAAAAAGGGTATTCAAATATATACTGCTCAAAAAAATAAAGGGAACACAAACGTATAGGATCCTATACGTTTGTGTTCCCTTTATTTTTTTGAGCAGTATATTTCATTAACACCACATTTGTACACGTATCTGTTCATAGTCCTGAGAAATATTTGTAAAAAAGTGATATAACCATCTCTTTTTGGGAGGTCTTCAAACCTCCAAATCTGCATTAAATTAAGATTTCAAATCAGAGAATTTGGAATGACTATTTGTAGGGTTCTAGCAGAAATAAATTTCACTGTGCAGTTATGGTTGCAGCCCTGAGCATCAAAAGCTTATTATCTATTTGTAGTTTTACTATAGTGCTGTCAGGAATGTCAGTCAGCTTTTTGAAACTAGATGGAGTCCTAGTTGATCAGATATGAATAATCATAATATGAATGATATTAAACCATAAATGTGATTCTATACATGAAAATAAATCCCATTCAGATTATTCTTAAAACTTAATTTAGAAACTGTTTCTCATAAAATCCTACTGAAATGTTAAACACCATATTTCATATTGAAAAAAAAGACTCCTTTAATTCTGAGCCAAAATACATCTCATAAGCAAATAGCAAAGCTATCTTTGTGCCTATCATATATTTAAATATAAAATTGCTCTATCTATTAGATACTAGGCCAAATGGACAATTTATTTTATTATTATCATGTTGCTTTGTTCTTATTATCATGTTACATTGTTCTTAGATATTAGTCTGAAGCATCACTATTGCATACACTCTGGTCATGTATTTGGATTATTGAGCAAGGAATAAAAAACCTCATTAAAATACAACAAATAAGGACAAATATATGTAAAGCAACTCACCACAAAAAGAGAGCAATATCTTTCTGGCTTCTCTGGACATTTTGGCAAACCATTCCGATTCAGTTTTAAAAAGAATCTCTCACTATAAAATAAACATTATAATTGGAACAGGTAAATTTATCTGTCACAGCAATGTGCAAAAAAAACCTCCCTATTCAGTATTTGGATAAATACTTTTTTGTCACTGTTTCCAAAAGAATATTTTCTAAAATTCTGGAACAAGGTTGCAAAACCAGCCATTTTTCTATTTATCAGAGTAACTTTGATACTTTTGCTACAAAAGCCAGCTCATTCTAGGTCAAAATGCAGAATTCCATAAGATTGAGATAATTGCTAAGAAACAAAGCCAGATGGGTCTTTAAAATAACTCATTGAATGAAGCACCAACTCCTTAATTATATTTTTAATGATTAAGAAGTTGCTGCTTCAGTCAATGAATTATTTTAAATTCATTTCACAACTAAAATGTTACTGAACTCACGAAATAATGTATCAGGACTTCAACAAAGGTTCATCCATTATCATATAGTAAGGTTACTGGTAGAAAAATAATACTTGCTTTTTTGTCCAAATCAGTAACAAATTATAGTTATATAGTAAGGAGGAGGATAAAATGTGTGATGAAAATTTTCTTGCCGGATAAAATGTCAAGAAGAGAAAAACGTTTAAAATAAGTACATTCTACTTCAGTATGAAGTTTGTTTTATATTTTATGAAAAAAGGAACAATTATAACAGACTGACTAGTCAGTCATCAACTTTTCTGTCAAGAATCAGAAACTTAAAATGCAATTTTAAGCTGCTATTAAAAGAAATACTAATGAAAAGAAACAATACTGACAGGGTTAAGTCCATAATTTGAGGAGTGAAGGAAGCTTCCATGTCTGTGCCTTCTAATCATCTTATTCCAAAATTCTGCCATAAATAAGAGGTTGCTCTATGCATTTTTTAAACTATAGCTTTCTCAGCTGTTTCTTCAGCTCTTTTCAAGGGCAAGTAATTTGTCACTCATATGTTCTTTTCCATTTGCAACAGTAAAAATAGCAGCCAAAACATCTATTCAAGTTTTTTTAAAAGGCAGAATAAAAGAGCTAATATTAACAGCTGCATCTTGTACATTTTCCCAACCTTCCATAAGGTTGAAAAGTCTTCAATGAAAATTTCATTCTTGTCATTTATATTCAGATGAAATGCTTTAATTAGTTCAAATTCCATATTAGAAATTCATAGGTCTGAAATATTCTGTTTTCTACACAGGTTCTAATGTTTGGTGCCAAAATTCAGAGTCTCATGCGAAGTCATAGTTTGCAGGGAAGGTAAGTGATTTTCATGTTGACAAGGACAGATGAAAAATATTATTTGCTAAAGTATTGTGCAAGAGTTAAATTGTTCCAAAAAATGACAAATCCAGGGCAGTTAGGTAGACCAGACAGATGAATTCTTTACTGCGAAAAAATGTGGGGGGTGGGAAATTCTAGATTTAATAGGATCCTGTCTCTACATCTGCTACAGAAACACATTATGTCTACAGGCAAGAGAACCCACTAGTATCATACAAGACCATGGCCCTTCTGTCATGAGTCTTGCTATCACTAGATCTTAAGGCAGACATGTCAAACAAAAGGCCCGCGGGCTGGATGTGGCCTGCTATATGGTTCCGTCTAGCCTGGGGACTTGCTCTGGAAAGAGCGAAGGACTGGACCGCTGCACCTCAGCCTGGCCCAGGCCAACCGGGCACTGATCTACAGCTTGGTTGCGTCCATCAAAGCCAGAACGTGCTCAGCATTAAATCCACGGGGCAGCCCTGCCCTGGCCTTTGGGTGCGCACAAAAGCAGAGTCCTGCATCCCTGTCTTGTCCCACAGGCTGATTTCACCCAGGATGCCAGTGCTGGCCGTCTCCTGTGTGCACACCCGTGGGGTGGGGCAGAGGTGCCAAGGCAGCTCCTTGCTGGTTCCAGTGGATTTTAGGCTGAGCGTATTCTTGCTTTGATGGATGCAACCAGGTTGTAGATCAGCACCAACCCCACCACCAGCACCTCCAGCCTCACAGCCACAAAACATCCCTTTCAGCACCACAGAACCCCACACACACCTGGGATAGCAAGATTGGCAGCAACATAGCAGCGGTGGCAATCTCTCACCCTCCCATCACCCCTTCCTGAGCGTAAAGGAAGGAAAGAGATGAGAAGGAAGTAAGTAAGTATAGCAGAGAGAGGAATTGGAGGACGATCGGCGCTGGCTGGGAGACTTTGCCAGAGCTCTGCAGATTCGGCAGAGAGGTCGGGAGCTCCGGCAGTCTCTGCAGTGGTTGGCAGCAGGGCAGGGCTTTTGGGGAGAGATTTTTTAAAGGGGAAGAGGAGATTGACTGGGGAAGATTTTGTTTTCTCTTTTCCGGAGAGACAAGCCAAAAGGAGAGAAAGCGAGGTAGGAAGTTGGTGAAAAGGCTTTTTATTCTCTCTCCAGAGAATAAACTTCCTACCTTGCTCTCCCTCCTTTTGGCTTGTCTCCTCGGAAAAGAGAAAATAGAATCTTCTCCAGTCAATCTCCTCTTCCCCTTCCCCAGTTCATGCTCATGGAGCCTTGTCCAGAGTGTTTTGTGGTCTCCCCAATATAATTGCATGAACAGTCATTGCAATTGATTTAGTAGATCACCGATGACATGTTGCCTTCAGCTAGGGGTTCTTTAGGGCGCATTATTCATGTGCGCAGGGTCTGAATAGGTTTATGTGCCACTTTAATGTTGTGAGTTGAAAGTATTTGTGCAGCTGCCTCTGAGATGCCGTGGACATAGGGGAGTGTTGCCCAGGTAGTAGTAATTACTCTGTCATCCATAGATCATGATGCTTGTTGTCAGATGAAGTCTGCAGAGTACCCATTTTGTATACACACCTGGTAAAGGTATGCTCGTTCTTTAGATTCACAAAACAAGTGTCCCATTATGACCCATTGTATCACTCAGGGGCACCCCAACCTTCGGGTTGGCAAAGTAGCTGAGTACACAGTTTCAGCACCTGATTGAAGGTACCTCTACCACTGTAAAATCTGCAGAAAACTTTCTAAAAAGGTTACGCATGCTAACGATAGAGGATGATGAGATCATGGTATCTTTTGATGTCGTATCTTTGTTTACCTCCATTCCCCAAGAACTGGTGGTGTTGGCCATGAGAGAGTTGTTGCAGGATGAGGAGCCACAGTTTCTGGGTTCACCCAATACAGAGGATTACATACAATTGTTGAACTTTTGCCTGAGAACTTATTTTACGTTCAATGGCTTCATACATGAACAGATAAAAGGCACACCTATGGGGTCACCTATCTCTGGAATAATCACTGAAGTGGTTTTGCAGATATTAGAACTTATGGCAATGAATGACTATAAGCCCAAATTTTGGGCCAGTTATGTCGACGACATGTTTGTTGTCATTAAGTGCCGTGATATAACTGGATTCATGAAGAAGCTTAATTCCATCTATCCTGATATCCAGTTCACGGTGGAGGGAGAAGATAATAACACCTTGCCCTTCCTTGACGTACGGATCCATCGTGAGCATAATGGCACTCTCACCACCGGGGTCTACCGTAAAACCACAAATACCGACAGAATTCTCCACAATGACAGCAATCACCCCACTGCCCACAAAATTAATTGTATCCAGACACTTTTTAATAGAATTAATACACACTGCAATACAGTAACAGAAAAATCTATAGAACGGGCAAACCTTTACCAGGTATGCATACAAAATGGGTACTCCATAGACTTCAGCTGATGTTGCCTCCGACAATGAGCATCATGATCTATGGATGACAGAGTAACTACTACTACCTGGGCAGCACTCCCCTATGTCCATGGCATCTCAGAGGCAGCTGCACGAATACTTTCAACTCATAACATTGAAGTAGCGCATAAACCTATCCAGACCCTGTGCACACAAGTAATGCGCCCTAAAGAACCCCTAGCCGAAGGCAATATGTCATCGGTGATCTACCAAATCAATTGCAATGACTGTTCATGCAATTATATTGGGGAGACCACAAAATACCTCCGGACAAGGCTCCATGAGCACAAACTGGCCATTAAACGCAACAAAAAATGATCCCAGGTGTGGGTCCACACAACTGAGCATAACCACACTTTCGATTTTGCAGGGGCCAAAGTTATTGCCCATGATACAACAAGGGCGGCCGCCTGCTAAAGGAAGCCTGGTTATCCAATCAATACTCCATCAACTGGCACATTGAATTACTGCCGGCTTATCGAGCATTGTGCCAACATGAATTATCATATAGGGAGCCAGAATGGATGAAACAATGATCACCTCCCTCCAGTGCAAACAGGAGAGCAAAGGAGCGCAACCGCTCACCAGCTGATACATTGGCGCAGTGGGAGACCACGAGGAAGCAGACTGGACTCACAGATTCCAGGAGAGGACATCAGACCAACAGGACCAACAATCTGGGCGTGACAGAGGAGCGACGAACCGAAACAACGGCATCACATGTCATCCAGGCATGAGAGTGAGGAGAACAGGCAAGCGGCGAAATCAGATGAGCATGCGCCACAAGATGAACGCTCCTGGTAGGCAGGGCAAGTGAGGAGAGGCAGAGCAGCAAAACTCAAACGGACATCAGCCAGCATGACAGAAACACAACTGATGCAGCTGATTGGGGGAGGGTGGGACCAAACAAACCCGTAACACATGCATTGTCTAAATTATTAGCTTCTCAGGGACTATAAAAACGAACTTCCCAATCCTGGTTTATACTTTGATAACGTCAGCAGTTGCTGACGAAAGCTAAGTTCTCCAGCATGATTGGATGGAGAACCCACGGATGGGTTGTCTTAATCTATCTGCTCCAATTGGACTAAGTCTGAAATTGGTAACGCCCCCTCTGTGCCAAGTGCACCCCAGTTTTAGACTTAGTCCTATTTGCTCTAAGACGCGTTTTGTCTTCGCTCCTGGAGCAGAAGACTGTTAGATTCCATTTAAATGTCTAGCTCAGGCTATTAGTATTGATTGTTTTTTATTGTTGAATTGAATCGATTATTAGCAAGGAAAAAGGATCAATTAGACCAGTCTG